CCCAATTCATGGGGTAAAACTCTAACAGTAAGAGGAGTTTTGTCGATTACTAATTTTCAGGACCTCCACTTGAGTTTTCATGCAAACAGAATGATTAAAAGCATATTATTTTTTTAGAAATCAATCAGTTCCTGAAGAAGACATGAAACTTTCTGCTGCTATGCTGGGGTACTGGCACAAGACAGAGCGAGCTACCTGAGTCCTGCCCATCATCTCCATTCGTGCTCCTTCCTGCAGCTCATCTGGTGGGTTTACCTGTACAGAGAGGTCCTCAGCCTGCACATTTCTCCACTGACTTTAGCTGGCCACATCCGAAAGTGTGTCTCTACACGCAGAGCTGAACCTGAGCTGGGACACCACCCTGGAAGGAGTGATTTATGGGCTGGAGGATGAGTCGACCAAGTGCTTGGGTGAATCAGGCCTGAGCAGTGAAGCTATGTGGAAGAGTAAATTACTTGTTTGCTGAGGATATAGATCATAATTTAGCATCAGTTAAAAAAAAAATCATGCCGATTTCTTTCAGACTTTAGGAAATGGCTTGTGGACCAACACACTGAAATAACCATCTAGCTAAGTGGGAAACCGCAGAAGTTTCTCCCTACTTCCTTAGAAATATTTCAGTTTTAACTCCAGTATTTCTTTAAACTCTGTCTTGGTGTTTAAAGAGAAATACAGCTCCATCCTTCCTCCTTTTTTTTGGTAGGTAAAAAGGTCTCGGTGACAAGAGACATGGCTGGCCCCTCAGCAGCCCACGTGAGCCATGATATTCATTCAGTGCTGCAGGTGAGAGGTCTTAGGGTGAACACAGAAATCACATTTCTTATGAGAAAAGCTGTATGGGCTGCCTCTTTGCACCCCCAGGGAGCTCATCCCAGTCAACTGGAGTTTGGCAATTATTTGTTAAAGAAATTATATTACTAGTTTCCCAAATCTCAGTTTGTGTGGTGCAGAAGACTCTCACTTGGTTCTCTCCAAATGCAAGGAAGGACCTCAACCAAATCCAAAGCAGGGAAACCATTGGAGCAAGGAGAAGAACTGCTTATCGTCTTAGTCCCTACAGAGAGGAGCAGAATTTATTTTCTCAGTAATTTGTGGTTATGCCAGCCTTTCCAGACACATGGCAAAACATGTCCCCCCATTGTTTGCACGGACAACAGCTGAGACTGTGTAACTTGGCAAAGCCCCACGCACTTACGTTCACCACTCAGTTATCTCAGCCATACGTCAAACGGTCGGGGGAAGCTGCAAAACGAAAGCTGCCTAACCCAAAGGCAGCCCTGCTTTTTGCTGTCTAGTGTCTCCCACAAGGCAACGCCTTTTCACACGATGCAACATTCTACCCATATTGGTGGGGAGCGCAGGGGGTAGGACATGCACATCTAACAACCGATCAGATGAAGAAAAAAAGCAGATATTGGCACTTGGTGTTCACTGGAAGCAGAAGTTAAGACATTAACTTTGTAAGTCAACATGGAAGAAGACAGTAGACATGAAAAATAGCCTGGCAAGAAGGCGCCGCCGCATTACAAGCTGAGAGCTGGCAAGAGGAACCCCGGCTGTGGTCAGCTCGTGGAAAACGGATGCCAGATTCGGCAGTTTGCCATCGCATTGATGCTCACAACAAATACTGAGGCTACGTTAGAGTGGCTGCCAGATCAGTGCTGGCTCTCACAACCTCCACATCGTGGCTGACAGGCAGAGGGAAGGGAGACTTCTACACACACCTATGCACTGATCCCCAGTATTGCAGCTCTTCCTTGGCACCTGAGCAGTGATCCTTGGCATTTACACACTAGGTTTCAGCTACTGAGCCCAAAGGAGAGCTGAGTGTGTTATCTGTTTTGCACACAGCCAAGAACAGCAAAACAGCTTGTTTGAAGTTGTATGGGAGAAACCAGGTACCGTATCCTTTTCCTCCTCCTGTGCAGTCACCAAACAATGCAGCATCTCCCCACCTTGCCTTGGCAGACTCTGACCGTTCTCACGGAAGGTGTCCGCTTTCCTGCCATACATCCTGAGTGCAAACCCTCCCTCTGTGCTACTTACACAGGCTACTCCACCTGTCAAGCTATCTCCTCGGAGCAGCACTCCGACAACGCACTGGCACTTGCCAAAGGCTGTGTCCACAGCATGGAAAAAGCCTATCACTTTCAGCTTTGAGCTTCTTGAATGATGACCAGCTCTATCTCCTCTTCCTGTGGGCTACCTCCTTCAGTGACAGAACATCTCCTTTCTAAGGTTGAGTTAGGACTGATATATCACCCATGCATGCCAACATAGAGGATCACAGCGGCTTCTCTCATTCCTTTCCCCCAGCACGGTGCGGACCACAGCCCTGCTGCCCTCACAGCAATGGGGCCTTTTTTATCTTTTTTTTTTTTTTTTGCCAGCTGCTCAACTGAATACCATAAAAATCCACAAAACGTCATAAAAAGCCATTCTTTTCAGCCACTGCATTGTCAAGACTGAAGGTTTAAGCAACTAGCTGCTCTATCTCCAGGCCTCCAGCTTACCGCTAAAACCAGCAGCAGGTACGGAGAATGGTTAGGGTTGGAAGGGACCTTAAAGATCATCCAGTTCCAACCCCCCTGCCGTGGGCAGGGACACCTTCCACTAGATCAGGTTGCTCAAAGCCTCATCCAGCCTGGCCTTGAACGCTTAGAGGGATGGGGCATCCACAACATCTCTGGGCAGATGTACAGACTCCTCTTATTTCAGTTTCCCGAGTGCACTGCACTTTAATCATAATTCTCTCCCTAGCCCACCCCCGAGAGCCCGCCAGTGCCCATACGTTCGAAACGCGCCCGCCTCCTACGTTGCTGAAGCACTGCAGGGAGAGCAGAGCAGGAGGTGGAGTCAGCTGTTTCCACGACAGATTCACCATGTCCCTCACAGCTCTGCAAAACTTCACTTCCCTGGAAGGGTTTCAAGCTCTGACTCATGTCCAGTTCTTCTATTTTAATCATTCCCTCTTACATCATTCTCAGAGGCCCACGGTGTCACATGCAAACTCCCCCAGCCCCCAGCTCCTCCTCTGCCGAGCACTTAATCTGCTGCCGTCTCTCATCCCAAACAAAACGAGGTAGAGAAATATATTTGATACCGACTCCTTCCCTACTTTTTTACCATTTAGCATTTACCAGCTCTGGATGGCAGCTAACAAGGGCTTCCAAGAGCTCTCCACTGCAATGACAACACTGAAAGAGAACAGGAACAGTAGCCGTGCCAGCAAACCGAGCAGCGCGGGGATGAGAGAGACCAGAAAAATCACAGCAGGCTCACTAATGCTGCAAACCAGCTGGGACACAGCACAGGCCAGAGATAAGTGTTGGGAAGGGAACCAGGTCAGCTGGTTCCTACTTTCCATCCTCCCAGTGACTTCCTGAATAACTCTGGATGTCACTTAATCTTTTTGTTCACGCTCGGAAGCACAAATCATCAGTGTCGGTCCATTCAAGATTCCTTATTAAACCTGGTATCGTGAGACGGGGACGGAGCCAAAACTCTTTGAGAGCGCCGAGTAGAACAACGCTGCTCACGTGCAGCCGTTCAATCCCTTCTCTAGATCCCCGCCTAAACGCCTCCACGGTCGAGAGATTCCCCGTGGATCTCAGGGGAGCCCCTTGTTTGTAAGGGTGACCGCCAGACAAAAACTCCTGCCTGGAAGATTACGAATGCTAGCCAAACAACAGCTGGAACGCTTTGAGCCTCCAGCGTGCTCTGTGCAGGAACACGGCAGAGAGCAGAAACGCTGTACCTAACGACAGTTGCTTTGTTTGTTTTACTCTGGTCAATGAGTCATCCTTACATCCACCGGCACTCTGCAATTATTCATCGCAGAGGTTTCTGGTGCAACCAGCAGCTTACGAAACTGTAAGATCTGGTACAGATTTTCACTACACCCCCCAAAAAAAATTCTGTTAGACCTCTCCCCCGTCCCCTGTCCCAGGGAGAGAACAGCCAGCAGGGATGAATGTGGCACTGTGGGGATGTTTGCGTGGCTTTTACTGTGAGAACACCAGCACATGGTAGGCGTGGGACTCCTGGAGAGCCCGCGTTCGCATGCAAGGGAGACAAGGGGAAAGCGCTGGATGTTTCCGTGTGTGGGTGAGTGGACATTTTACAAGGGGCCTGTGAGTGCAACGATGTCAGGAGATCGAGAGAAACTCAGGCGAACATGAAGGACAAGGTGCAAAGGCAGTGAGACACACCAGAGCACAAATGTGCCTGATCTCTCCGCTGACTCCTACAGCAAAAAAATTTATATGTTTTGCTAAAGGAAGCAAGCAGAATTGCTTGGAAGAAGGCTGATGTGGGAAAGGCTTTCCTTTCTGTCCTTCCCCTGTTTCCTCTACTCATTTCAGTACTTTTCCCACCTGCTTTTATTTTGCTTTTTGTATAGTCAGCACAAACACCCTTCTTCTATGCAGCTCTCATGGTTTACACCTTGTATTCAGCCCTACCTGAAAACACCTCTCCCTCCTGGCCAAGCTCTCAATCCACCTGGTTACTTTGCTCCTCAAAGACATCTTCATCCGATCTGATACTACTTTAACTGCACCACCACCAAGGACAAAAAGGTTTCTGTACAGAGGTACACTGGCATTACACAAACCAGGATGGTACCAGGGTTGGAGAGAATCACAGCAAAAAGGGTGATGGGACTGGTGGGAGCACAGAGCGAGCACGGACACCTGGGAGGCTGCAATCGTGGTGGGGAATTCAAAAGCGCATGCAGGGAGGAGCTGGCCAGAGGGATGACAGAGGGGAGGATGCTGCAGAATAGAATCTGAGAAGTGTAAGATCCAAGGGAGCATGGAGACAGTGGGAAAAAGAACAAAAATGTCTGTGAAGTGGGCAGAGCATGGAAGAAAGGAAGAAAACAGTATCTGCACCTTCAGTTTTCTTCCTGCTTGAGAAAAGAGACATGGAAAGGTTTGATTGATCTCCCCATTTAGTCCCCATCAGAAGATATGAAAGGACCCAGCCAAAAGCCAGGTGTTTTGTTTCCAGTTTCATTCAACAAGGTCTGCATAATAGACGAGGAAAAACTTTACCGGCCTACCCATCTTGCCCCTCTTCCCAGGAACTCCAGGGATCCCCTGCAAGGAAAACACACAGAAGAAAAAAAAAAAAAATAACAGATCTGGTTGAGAAAGCAAAGAGCCAACCAACAATATCAAACAACACTAGGAGAGAAAGGGGAATGCAAAACAGGCTAATGACTGCAGCATTGTTCGGGAATCAAAATGTCAGCTACTTGCAGTCAGCTGCGAGAGCAGGGGACAATTAACCTTCACCCACTATCTACGGCCCTCCCCGAAGGCACACGCAGGCAGCATCCACACCCAGGGCAGCAGGCTGAAGCTGTGCTTAGCAGGAGCAGTCATTAAGCTACTGGTCTGGAACCAAACGAAGGCCACTGCCAAGGCACTCACTGGAGAACTTCTGTTTATGTTTCTTATTTAGTTATACAAGCATTAAATCAGTGACTCCAGAGCGCAGGGTAGTCCCCTCCCAGGCAGGCACTGACACACTCACTCCCACACGCTCCTGGGGCCTCTTGTTTCTGGAGTTTGCGTTTGAGGGAGGAAAAAAAGCTGGAATACAACAGTCTTCATCTTACAGCGACCTTCCTTAGGAGCTCTTGCAGTAGGAAAAGGGGGTCTCTAGGTCAGGCAGGTGGCGGGATGTGGAGGAGAAAAGCAAAAAAGCAAGGGAGGTCCTGCAAAGCTCTGAATATGTGGGCTTGAAGAAGGCACAATGATAAGGATGGGAAGAAGGGAGGATACATGGGAACAGCAGCCTCAGTTGCCCATCCACAGGCCCCAGTCCTGACTGCACAACTCGATGAAACTGCAAGGAAAGCCATTGTCAGAAAGCCCCAGGCCCTGCCCCTTCCAAGAGCCAGGCTCTGTCCAGACACCTCCAGCTGGACACCCAAAATGCTGGGACACTCAGGCTGGGATGTCACTCTTGTGGGAGCAGGGAATTTCCATATACATTCTGCCCTCCTGCCCCATCCCACTAAGAAGAACTAGTAAGGGAGAGGAGGAAGGCAGGTTTTGAGTGAAGGAAAATACAGAAAAGCTTCTCACTACTCAACAGTGAGATCTGACGACCCTGTCTGAAGCCTTGTTTTTCCTGAGCTGAACGTCAGCATCGTACAGGGACACAGGTCTTCATGCAAGGGTAGAAACAGGCTAAAGAAGGCATGGTTAAACATTAGGCATGCTTGCCTCTTTCCTCAGGAACAAGGGATAGAAAAGGTTACAACAGGCTCCAAAGAATCAAGCAAAACACCAAGGTTTTCTTTATAAAATACTCACTCGTTCTCCATCAGCACCTGGTAGCCCAAATAATCCTGGGAGACCAATATATCCCTAAAGAAAAGAGGAAACAAGTAGTCAAATACATTCTCCATTAGCAGACAGTCAGTCTGTCTTTCCTGATCAGCGGAGCATCATCCAGCGTTGGTCAATGGCAGCCGTGATGAAATAAACCTTGAGGCAAGTGTATATGCCCATGGACTGCATGGTGCTGGCTTCCACGATGTAGTCCAAGGGCACATACCCTCACACCAGGGATCAGGAGGACTCTGAGCAGGAAGAGGCCAGCAAGAAGAAACCTTACCTGGGCTGGCTCTGAGTGCACCTGAGAGAAACGGAGCTTGGTTCAAGGTTAGCAAGAGTGACAGCAAGAGGAATCCACATGCCTACGCCTCCTCTTATCTCTCCAAGGGCTCTTTCACTGCCTTTGGCCGTGTTGTGAAAATGGTCTGTTGTACTAAGCCCTCTCTGCTCACGTCAATGGCGGTCGCACACCGCAGCCCCTTCTCACGCAAACACCTTCTCCTGGCATGCAGGGCTGCCAACCACCCCGCTGCCGGGAGCGGAGCACACCGCTCACGGTTCCGCCGGGAGCCTTTCCCCGCAAACTCTGCTGCACCACCAAGGCCTTTCACAAACACCCTGTTGACCCAAGCGCCAAGAGCCCTGCCTGGGCTGGGCCATTCCAGGCACTTTGGATTGGTGTACGAGGCTCGTACGTGTGCAGGGATCCTCCAACACCCAACCATAGAGCAGCCTCCTTTGCACCCATGTGTTCCACGTAAAATCTGCTGCTTTCACACCCGTGAGCAGGCGTCACATATTAAAGTATGTGATGTTTCTCTACACTTGGGGATCCTGCTCAGACAGGACACAAACGCTACATTTCCCTTCCCTTGCAACAATTGCAGCCTTGTGTTTAATCCTCTTTGCTCAGCAGTTAGTACAAAGTTACCTTGTGTGCTGGTCCTTTGCAAAGGACTCATTTGTGCCAAACATGCAGAATCAAGAGGAAGTGAACTTCAGCAGGGAGCCCCCTCAGTGGCACCTCACTGTTACAAGAGCCAAGTGTTAACACTGATTTTCTCTCATCTTTCTTTCCCCATCGTCCCTAAATCTCTTACCGTCAACCCCACCAACCTATTTCAGCAGCCCATCGCTCCCTTTAGGTCACGCTTCCTTTCGGGATAATACCTATCAGGGAAATATGGCCACATTAAAACGGTGCTGTCTGCCTTTGCTGAACCCCAGGACAAACCATGTAACTCCTCAACTACTTCCTGCAGAAGAAAAAAAATAGAGGAGGGAGGTGGAGAAGCATCCACAGTTGAGTCCCTCAATCCACAAAATGCAGATATCCCACCTTACTACCCAGTTCCGATTCACTGCAGTTGAACTGAGAAATGGCTTTCTTGGGTAGCTGTAAATATTTCAGCACTCGGGGCCTTAAGTGGAAAATAATTTTCAAGTCTTACATCCTGCACATCTCCCACATGATAATTACATGAGGTCCTGGTTAGGTCAGTGAAACGTGTACCAGGGAAAACTTTATCGCTTGCAGAAGTGGGGTGAGCAAGCTGTGCTGTCTCAGACCTTTCTCTCTCCTGCAGGACACTGAACATGCCATCTCCCTTCCCAGCTCAGGAATACCACTAGCTACAGGGTCAGCCTTTGTTTATTCCTTGCAGTTTTCCTAGTGATGAAAGCCAGCTGCTTGAATTTACTGCATATAGAGAAAGCATCACATGTTACAGAAAGGGGGGATTTTATTGGCTCAAGATCTCATTTGTGAATTTATAATTGCAGGAAAAGAACAAAATGTGATTAAGGAGAGCCTTAATTGGTAGAAAAATAACCCTTTGCAGTGGGAACGAACCCCCAGCAATTCAATTTGGTGAGCAAAACCAGGCAGAATGGAGATATTAGTGTTTGTATTCGCACGTGGCTCCAAGATGCTGGCTTGCTATTCTGCATAATGATATAAAACACTCCCAAACCCAGCACTATACCCAGAAGAGCCCATATTCGGCATGGTTGAAGACCGCTGAACCACACTTATTGAAACTAAAGAGGCCTTTGGGAGATGGGGCTTGCAGAAAGTTCAGACTTCGGTCTTCGGTAGGAATTTGTATGCCATTCTTTCCTCTCCTGCAATGTGAGCTCTGAAGGAGTTGACTTCGTATCATCAGCACTATTGGTGAACTTTGATCTTGGTACATTCTAGGTTTCATTTTAAAAATTTAGCAGTGCTTCAAGAAACAAGCGGTGCGCAGTTCAAATCCCTTGAATCCAACAAATTAAAGGAACTAGTCTCAGGATTGCAAGATTAAGCATAAAGTTTCCTGAGAAGCCTTTGGTAAAAACAAATAGAGAAAAGATATGTGAAAGGCTGCTTACCCGACTGCCTTTTGGACCAGCTTCCCCTATGGGGCCAGGTAAACCCTGGAACAGAAGGGAAAAAACAGAGACAAATGTGGACAGGCTTTAACTTAACCTAACGAGCGGTGCCAAATCCCCAGCACCGTCCCTGCGTGGTTCTGCTTTCAGGGCCGAGTCCAACGCGTATCAACAAAGGAGAAAAAAAGGACAAAACGATACAAATAACAAATCTCCCATTGTTGGGGAGCTGGCACTCTGCAGAACCTGAGACTGCTGCACGGAGTGAGCCTTCCCTGGGGCTGAAGTAGAGATTTCTGATCATAAAGACCAAAAAGGCTAATGCAGCAGGGCGCACCGAGGTTGTGTTACACCCAGATCCACGTACAGTGATGTCCTGCACCCAACAGCCCCTAATTCATTTTCCTGCTTAACTAAACACATACACAGCAAAATACAAATGCGTTTCAATACCTGTTTAGGCAACACAGGCTGGCCCTGATGCAGTGACAAAGCCCCTCTAATTTCTACAGCCTGGAAAGTCACTTATCAGTACAGGTACTGCAATATCTCTAATCCTTTGCAGCATCAACAGATATGGAAAGAATTGACAGTGCATTCCCCACCCCACCTCTCTGCCTATTGCTGCTAACGAAGTACTGTGAGAAAGAACCCTGTAAAAAGGAATAATGAATGTCATGTTTATTGTCTTCCAGCAACTTTCCAGGTAATTTTCTTCTAGTTCCAAATGCTGCTGGGCTTTTTCAGAAGAGGGAAAAAAAAAAAAAAGAAGAAAAAAGACAGACAACTAAATCCGTATTTTCTTCAGCTGGCAGCACTGCACACAGCCTGGGATCTGAAAGTCAGGTTGTGCTCTTTTCCTGGCTCATGTATCACTGCCAAAGATTTCAGCCATCAGGGTGAAGTTAACAATTCTGCTTATGATGAGCGAATCAAACGAGAGCCAAGCTCTCTCTCCCGTAGCGCTGCAGAGCCAGCGCAGCTGACAGGAGTAACAAGTAGTAAAAACTCAGCAAAGTAAACAGCTCTGATGCTGGATACACACAGCCTTCAGATATGCTGGAAAAAAGCTGCCTTAAAAAAAAACCAGAAAAGAGAGAAAAAAAAGTCATTTTCCTGACCCAAACCCCGTTTTAAGAAAGCACTTTTATTCATAGTGTGTCAATCGCAAAGATTTCACCCTGCTTATCTGATGGGCAGAACACTGCTACGAATTGCTAAACAGCATTTATTAACCTTGTATGTCCAATATAGCTCAGACTGCTGTAGGAGTCATCCAGCACACATTCACACCTAGGAGATGGTTTGGCATGCAGATCTCTAAGAGCCTTTCAGAGTATGAATGGGGCATTTAGTCAGGTGCATAAAACCCTCATCCAGTTCTACCATCTGCATCTGCGTATTCCACCTAAAATTTGCTAAGCGAGGTGTCACTTTAATTTCAAATTTAAAATAGTCTGAGGCCGGGGGATGTAGACTTGTTCTGAACATCTAGTTCACATTCAGTCCAATAACCTGCACATCTGGGTGAAACCTCACAGAGCTTGGGACAAGTCTGAAAGACTGGTGACAGACTCGGGCTCTGACATCTCCCTAGCCTCTTAGCTTTGTCCTTTGATATGAACGTGGCGGAATCCAACATTAATGTGCCCCTTTTAGAAAACCACGATGAATGTTTCACTGTAAAATGTTACAGGGCCAGGTCTTCTCCCCTCCAACAGGTTCCATTTCAGCTCTTACAAATTATCCCTCTTAATTTTCTTCCTACTACTCAGCATCTTACATCACTAAGACAATCCAATGCCCTATTGCAACTCCTTTTCCTTTGCAGCTCCTCCACTCCTGAAGTTGTCTTTGTGCAATTTTTTCAGAATGAAAATAAAAACTTGGTTTTCTTTCATCATCTTTTTTGCAACTGCTAATGAGATTTATATGGTCCATGCATATGTGTATATACGATTATGCTGAGAGTTCACCTAAACCTTTTCTTTCGGTCATAAGCTCTCCTCTGTCCCAGATTCCTAACGTGTTCAGCATCAGATGTGAAATGTGCCTAACAGTGAAGGGTTAGCAGCTTGCGGGTATGTTTCTCTGCTCTGTTGTTTTGCGGTTTGTTTTTCTGTTGCTGTACTGAAGCAAAAATATGTCAGGTTTTGCTATAAAAAAATTTTTATGCCTATTTTTTAAAGCCTATGAGGTTTTATCCATCACAGGCATAAACCACTTTCTAACCACCTTAGTGTCCCCTGGAGCTGAAAGGCCACATCATCGATAGAGCATCTTGGGGAAGGAAGAAGGAAAATATTCAGATGTACTCTAGAGGCCTGCACTGTCTTCAGCGGGGCACGTATTCAGGCATATACTGAGCTACCTGCACACCCAAATCCCTAGTCTGTGCACAGCACGATGAGATTTACTGCACCTGCCTGCCAGGATAACCTTTGGCACCCGGACTTCCGTCTGGTCCTCGTTCACCCTTTGGAAAGAAAAAAAGAGAAGGCACAAAGGTAAGGTGAATGCCACACTTGGGAAGCCTTTTTAGCTGCTTCATTTCTTGAGCTGGGGGAAAAGGAGGAAGAAATGGATAAGCTGATGCAAATGTATAGAGAAAAATAAAATACTATGGGTAGACAGTGGAATAAATTAATGAGGGTGGAAAACAGACAGAAGCCAAGTCAATAGGATCCATGCATTAAGCGAGTGTTGCTATTTCTCATTCTGCCTCCATCTGCAGTGAAAGCAGCAGATAGTTTGAAACAAGGAGGCTAAGAGAAGGTGTAAGGCTGCATCTATATCTGGCATATGGAACCGTTTTACTGGTGGGGGAGCACTGCCAAAATTCTTCAGAACTAAATGGATTCATGTATAATATCCTTTAACATCACTGCTAACAGGGCCTGCTATTCATGGCCTCTTTTTTTCTGAACTGCAAACATCAGACTTAACCAAATAATGAGGGGGAAGAAAAAGGGAGAGGGGGAATGGGTTTTGGGAGGGGAATTACATGTTAGTCCTTAATCTGATGTGGTTAGTGAACTCCAGGTGAAATCAATGTAAAAGGAAAAATAAAGGGGGAGTAGGGTAAGCTGGTATTTCTTCCACCACATAAACTTAACACGGTTGAGCAATAGAAGTTAGAAATTAAATTTAGAAAGTCCAAGGCAGTCTCCTCCCAGCAACCTGCTGATGCTCAGTCGGGGCACGGGAGTTCCCCGCGCATCCCTGTGTGCACACAGCTGCCCCTGGAAGGAGCTGGCTGTCCGCGCTGAGCACCGGAGTCAGCAAATCATCCCTCTCCACAGGTTCTGTGTTGGAAACTGGGACAACTCACCTGGTCTCCAGGGTGACCTGGTGGTCCAGGGTAGCCTTTATATCCCTGTTGAAATAGGATGGAAGAGATGAGTCGAAAGAGAAAAACAAACAAACAAACAAAACTGAGTAGTAAAATGATCTGGTTTTGGTTTGAATTTCTCTTTGCAGGTGGGAGTAAAGTTCTGAGGAGAAGCAGGTCTTCAGAGATAGGATGGCACCACACAATCACGCAAACCTTTAACATGCTGGTTTGTGCTTGCATCCCCCAAACCCTTCAAGCCGTGCGCCAGCAGCCTGCACCCACGGCTACTCAAGGACCTGCTCCATCAACAGACTTAGAGCTGTACCTACACTCAAAGCTGTTTATCCGTAATCCACGCCTTTAGCAAAGCTATCCTTAATCTTTAGGAAACCACAGGCTTGTAGGGTAAAATGTTGGCTTTGGGCAAGTTGGGGAACCACACAGCATGAGTCACTCGCATTTCAGAGTGCTCCTATTCGCTTTAGAACTTGAAATGCCGTAGGAAACATCAAAAATAACCATTTACTGCCACAGGAAACTTCAATTTTGTTTCTAGCTTGCAGCTTTTCCAATCTAATCATTACTAGGTATGACAAGATCCAGAGTCCTTCATGATGAAGCTACCCCAAAGCGGTGGGCAAGCTGTCTCTTAGCCTGCTCTCTGGTGAATTACCTAGAATGAGTTTCTCAATCCAGCTTGCTAGCTGGCAAGTGTTGCAGGCTTCAAATCATTCTCACAGGTCTTTCATAAACCTGCTTCGCTTTTCAGCTTTTTTTTTTTTTGAGCTGCAGACACCGGGGCAGGACAAAGGTAGCCTGTTCAGCTGCAGACTGATCAGTATGTATTTTAAGGGAGTTTGCTTTCTCCAGGATTTACCTAGAGCTCTCTTCAAACGCTGAGTAAATTCTGCAAGTGACAGGCACTTCAGATTTACCCCCTCCCTCTCCTTTATTATCTTGCTTCAGCTATTTAAAACAAAATCATTTCCATCAAGTGGAGTCAGAACAGATTAGACGATTAAATTCAGTTATAGAGATGACTGTTTAGCAAAGTTACTAGCAAGATTTTTAAAAGGGGCAGAAAATTTAACTTGAAACAAATGGAGAGAGAAAATAAACAAGAAACAATCCTTGCACAAATACTACAGAAACAGCAAAATGCTTTCAGGGTGGGTTACAATTGTTAATTGTAACTCAGTTTCTGCTACTCACCCTGTCACAGCCAGGGCTCCCGGCACACATTGCCTGTCTCCAAAACCCACAGGGGAGCATCCCCCTGTTCTGGAAGCCATAACCAAACTCTGGTTTGGCCGAGGACTCAGCCTTTTGCTTCACTCACCAGATGAACCCAGGCCTGTTTCTTGCTCCCAGGTCCACACCTCTGCTTAACAGCTTTTTTATTCTTCCCATGGGCTATTCTCGTCCTGCAGCCTAAGCCTTCGCTGGCGGAGGTATGCAACGCTCTCAGCCATCCTGGCTACTACCCACTCCCCTTTGCATTCCTTCTTGCTCATTATTTCAGACTTTCTGGGCTGGAAAAACGTTGATTCCCTTTTCACCGCATCTCTCCTGCTTGACCTTGCTGATGTGTCATGGCCCGCTCTTTTGACTGAGCTGCACCCCCTGAGAAGGCAGTGCCTGACCTAAAAGACCGTTTGGTGACCAGCTAGCCCTCACGTGAACCACCTACAAGGTCGTTTTCCAAGCCCTGTTAGCACATTTCAGCCAGTGGCTCCTAATTGGAAGTGCCTCAGCAGCTCCTGGAGCAGGACCAGCAGACAGGACTCCCTGCCCCTCTCCAGGAATCTGTCCTGCGAGATGCTCTCCTGCTTCTCCTCTCCCTGGCTCCTTGACAGAGGCTCAGCATCAGCAGAAAGGAGGGAGGATGCTCCGCCCTGGTCGGATGTCTGGTCTAAAGGTGAAGGTCCAGACCCACCTGGGTGTGGAAGGCCCAGTACTGGTATCACCCATCCCCGGAGCGTGGACCAGCAGGGCGTTGTGCAGATGGAGAGCATCTGTTCTGCCCCCCTTCCCTGCCCTTCCAGAGACGGCTGCCAAGAGAAACAGCCCTGGGTTCAGCATCTCCAGACGTGCCTGGTGATGTAGCACGGAGCCCGTGATGTTGCCTCTGCCCAGCTCCTCCAACCGCAGCCTGGAGCAGGAACCACCTTTGCCTCCAGACAGCTGGAGCATCCACTTCCACAGGTACAAACACTCGGAGATGTCTCGCTCCCTCCACTGATAAGAGCGAGCTGCCTAGCTTGGCTGCTCCGAATCCCTCTGCTCTGATCGTGTTCCTGCAGGAAGTCATTTCAACACCCACCCAGAGCAGGTGGTTAGAAGACAGACCCTTGAGTTGCCCCAAGCATGTCCTGAGCGAATGTCTGCACCAAGCACTGCATTGGTGTCTCTATAATGGTGAGCGAATGGCACTTAAGTTAAATATGTAGACACTCTTCTACTGTTGCATCCTATTAAATTAAATATCCTCCTCGCTACATACAATGAGCTCTAGGAAGCTTTGAATGTGTGTCTCTTCACGGTATACTGTAGTTATTCCTGCCTCAGGTCAATTATAGTGAGGAGAAAACAGGAAAGCTTGTGTATGCTAAAGTTGGCTGCAACGTGAAAGTATTTACCTGGTAAAATCCTCTTCAAATAGCAGTAAAATGACAGGGCAGAGGGTATGAAAACAACTGCATTTGCTCTTTTATCCAAACACTTCCTGATGATTACAGGGTGCTCAACACAAAGAGCTGTGATTTAGAAAGGAAATTGCATTCCAGTGAAGGATTTACTCATCCGTGATGATATTTATAATCCACACTCTCCTAGCTAAAACGGATCATCCTGCACTTCGAGAGGAAATGTGAAGAGTAAAGAGGCTGGAGAAAGAGATCGGCATGACAGGATGTGTTCTGAAGCACTGACCAAATCACAGCTCTGCCTTTACTCCCTGAGCGACTTCAGCAAAGCTTTTTCCCTCTCACTGTCGCTGCCTTCTGCAATCCTGTACTCTGCTCCCACCGTTTTCTCCTCCACGGCACTTGAGACTGGGAGCAACGGCGCGGTGCCCTGCTGAGATACACCTGCAAGGCTGCCGTAGTCTGCAGCCCCCAGACACCTTGTAGGCACCAGAGGGAAGGGCACAGGGGACAACAGCCCTGCCACCGTTCCCGAGGACTGCTGGGTGGCTAAACCAGCGTTTGCTCTGCATGGAGAGGGTGAGAATTACATCTGCTGCCTGAAAGGCACTTTCATATACCTGTAGCTGGGTCCAGGGAAAATGACTGCAGGGATGCTCAGAGATCAGACTCTCCAAGTCCTACAAAGAGCACAGGTCTGTGTTCCCCAGGCAGGCACTGCGGTGTGAGCCACGCTACCCAAACCCACAGGCTGCTGGGTCCTGGCTCCAGCTCATGCTGCCGAGCCAGTTGTTTCATTTAGTGGGAAAAGCATTTTGTTTCCACTGGTCAAATATTTTGCCTATTTCGAAGTTTCTACATGGCATTTTCAGATCAAAGCCCTCGGAGCTCTTTTCACAGTCTCTCCATGGAGTGAGCAGGAGGGACATCCATTTCCAAGGCGTTGCTGTTTTCTGGTAGCTAAGATGTGTTGCCCACCTTCAGCCAAACACCAGCATATTTTCACTGGGAGAATGCCAGCAGGGAATCCAGATAAAAAAAGATTTTTTTCCAAACATTTCTCCAACAGCTGTAAATTTTTTCTTAATGCAGGATGTTAATAAAAGCCAGGTTACACCAAAAACACTGCCAGACTAGTGCTACTGGGAGGTGTTTTTCTTAAGCTGCACCAAAGGAAAATGTCAGCGTCCAACTCGCTCATTACTTGAAGAAACAGAAGCATACCCTTGCCTTCGCCCTCTCCTGGGAGAGCCGAAATCAGATGTGAAGGCCATGTGCTGGACTCAGAAATGTTTGTTCAATCTCCTATTCCTTCTCCACTTTTTCCACTATGAGTCCTTGCACTCCTGACATTGCATTTTGCTGATTGTAACCACAAGGTTTTGTTTTATGAGCTGTTATACCAGGAAAATGGTGTTCTTTGCACCCTATTTGTTAGAACTTGTTTGTGACAGCAAAAGATTGGTAATCAATCACTCTACTGCTCCTAGCTCCACACACCACCCCAAGCATGACCAGCCTTGGGAGTAGAAAAATGAACCCAGCCCTTGTTCTTGGCAATTTGATTCCCATATAAAGCATACAACAAACAATCATGGAGAAGGAGGGTTTCTTTCAGCCTCCTCCACACCTTCTTTCTCTCCCCAGAGTCTTAAAGCATACCTGAATAGGTGTTTGTGTGCAGCTAATTGGCCTAAGGAATAATATAACTTCAACCACAGGTTAATGAGGTGGTTGAAACAAGATGCTAATTTTAACCATTCAGCTTAGCTATGTCAATACTGGCCCACTGGAAAGGGGAGTCTCATCCGAAACAGCTCCCTGCGACAGGTCCAGCTTCCAAAAAATCAAACCAACCTACCAACACAGCCTGGAACCAGAAGGTCAGCTGAAGCGATATACAAAAGACATGAGCTCAACCTACAGATCGCTAAGGTACTGCTGTGCAGGCTTGCATGCATGAATACAAGCACACACGCTGCTGCAACAGGAAGACAGGCATGGATCTTGCGCTCTATCCCTGTGTATCCTTTTCTAGGCACAGGTTTGTTGGTGGTGACATTAATAATGTTGAAACACCAATATGGGAGCAAATAAAGTAAAACCTGAGTAGCACTGTCAGTCTCCAAACAAAATAGAGGGAAGGCATACAGGTATTTTGGTTGAAATGTGGTTTACCAGGACAGTCAAGGTTTCCTTGGAATGTCTAAATCTGTTATGAATCCAACTATTGAGTATTGATGCTGGTTGTAGATCCATTTAGTTAATGTATGGGCTGAACCAGCCCTAAATTCAGCTTGCTGATGCATTATCAGGGTGCAGAGGGATGATGTAGTGCAGTGGGATATGGAATACAAAGAAGGAACAGAAATCTGGATCAAGAATTCCATTTCATATTCTTACACAGTCCCACTGGTACAACCTTTAGGCAGTTGCTTCAGCCCTATATCCCAGTTTTCACACCTGTGAAACAGGCATAAGACTTTTTGCTGGATACTAGGACTTAATTAAACCATTTAAGCAGTAACAGGACAACATTTTAAAATAAAAATAGTGATCTAATTCACTAGGAAAGAACACACTCCTACCTTTCTACCAGGTGGTCCAGGAAAGCCCGTCAAACCAGGTAAGCCCACATCTCCCTGTAGGAAGCAAGCAAGTTGCATTAGTTTCCAGCAATGTTTTCCCTTTGCCCAGCCTACGGTTACTGAAATTATTTTGCTGACAGCAGCACCCAACTATTGACATTTCTGATTCTAAACACAACTCCTCAAAAACTGACTGTATAAGAAGTGTAGATTTAGACATCGTCGCTATTAACTAGCTCAAATAAATAATAAACCCTTTTTAATTAATGGCAGATGCTGCTAGGGTCTAGATTTTGCCAGCAGAATGAATGCTTTTTTCAATGATCTCACTGTCACATGCTTCATGTGCCTTTCGATAGGCATCTAAATCGCCAAGGCAAGAAAATTTCAGTTTTTAAACGCAACAGGAACAACAGGTACCGCCTGCCAAACCTTGTGACTCTGCTCACACTCTGCTACTGTACTGGCTCAGCCCACGGCTCCAGTTCCGACGGTGCTGACGGTATAATTATTTAACCTGCACACACGACACGGATTGAATCTTTGCAGGCTGCTGGTGGGAGGGTTTTTTTCAGCGGCCTGTACTTCTGAAAAGGGATTGCATCACGTCCCAGCTGGCATACTCAGATCACCATAGGAATGGAGAAGCGCTTTGCTGTGAGACCTCTCTAACTCCAACCCATTTCAACAAGCCCAGTTTGGCCTCCTCTGAGTAGGACCAAACCCGCTTTAAAGCCTCCAACACTGCGCTGTGCCTGCTTCCTGAAAATGCATTTGGAGAGTATAGCTTGAAAATTAGGCACCACTCCAAACTCCTGCTGGAAACTCCTTGTTTCTATTACTGCTAACAGGGATAAAGCCTTGTTAACACGAGCTAAAAGCGATCTGGATCTCTCCCTTTCTTACACTGAGCATGCTTGCAAGAAAATGGTTCCAGACTCTGCGGGTGGATGATTTCCATGTGATGCCATTCTGATGTCGCATTCCAGAAATTTCAAAAGGCATCTCGTGCCGTTAAGTTACAAGCATTGTTTCAGGCTTAGCCCTCTCAATGTTTTCTAGCATCACCCTCCACCTTGTATTTGTGTGGCTTGCTGTGCTTCGTGGAGGCATCTGGTTTCAAATGAAGGGCCCAAGTTCTTCATGGCTGATGCTTTCTACTAGCTGTGCATTTATGATGAAAGGAAGAGAAGCAGGCTTCTTGCCCTGGACATGAGTTATGAAGTATTGTGCAGGCACCACTGCAAGAACTAATTGAGGTAGATGTTATGAAGCCCTGATTGCCCTTCCATTCATTTTGAGACTTCTGTGAGACCTTGTTGCCTCAGTAAAAATTGTCCAGCTGTGAAACAGCAAAAATGGGAGTTGTAATTTACTGAAAAGAACTGGAAGAACTCTGATCCTTAACAATCACTAAATCCAGAAGGCAGCAACACTTCCCAGTGGTGTGCTTTGTGTTGATTTGAGTAGGCCTTGGCGGAAAGGCCTCAGGTTATCACACAGCAGGGTCCATGCATGGACAGTGAGAAGCCTTTCTCCACCAGCGGGACAGCAAGGCAGCTCTCACAGCACCGATCCGCTGTAGGCTGCCCATGTGATGTGAGACAAACCATTTTTTCTCAGCTCCTCAGCAGGAGCAGCCTTTCCTTTGCCTTCAAGGTTTTTATTGCTTACAGTGGGATTACCTCTTTCTAGAGCTGCGCGCTGAGAGCTGGCAAGGCGTGGGTGTATCTCACAGGTCCTGGTATAAACACCCAGCTTAAGTAGCCACGTGCTTGCAGCACCAGGGACTTTGTTTGGGCTGCAGACTGTGCGTAAAATGGATAAATACTTGGACAGCAAAGACCTATGGCAGCAGGCACCTCAGTGCACTCTGGTCCACACCTTAGATACTTTACTCCTGAATCCAGATTCTAAATCTTAATTTTCAGACCTAAGTCTACTTGAGTAGCTGTGACGCTTGTGGCTGCAGGATGGACACCCTCCACGTGTATAGGCTGGAAGCACACGGTGGTCTTCATGCCGGTGCACTCTGAGCAACATCTTACCTTCTGTCCATTGCGAGCTTTTCCAGGCGACAACCCGGGATCACCTTTCTGACCCTGAAATGAAAAACTTTAATTAATGACAGAATCCAAGGACCCAACCCATAGTTGTGGTTCTGCTTCCACCAAGCCTCCAAATTAGAAAAACATTTTATCTGTCTTGCCCCAGCATCCCAAATGTGTTAGAGTCCCTCGGTACAGCACTTTTGCTGGACTGGTTTTGGTGAGTGATTGCTGCTGCTAAAGCGTTGTGTTTTAAATAGTATTTGACAGCATTAAATTGACTAAAGAAAGGATAACTGGAAGAAGGCAATGACTTTTGATACATATTAGACTCAACAGCTGTGATTTCTTCCTTGTCTACAACTACCATCACAAAAATAATTACCAAGCCTATTACTGTGGCTAACCCATCCTTCGTAACAACTTGCTAGATGCTGCTGCTTTTGTAACTGTGGGGAACAGATGAAACTGCAGAGAAAGTTACACTAATTAGACACTACCAACAGCCAGAGCAATTGTGAGGCTTTCAGGCTGGCAGAAGAAAGAGGCACACTTGTGGCAGTATTCTTTATTTTCCTTCTTAACAACCATGACAAAAGAAATTACAATTTAAGGCTGTGATCTTCCGATGAACACAGGCTGGAATTTCAGCAGCAGTTGAACATCTAATTCCAGTAGATTCCTTTGAAATACCCAGTTCAAATTCTTAAAAAGTGGAAAGGGGATGTGTGCACCTAAAAGGGTGAGAGATAGAAGTCGGAAAAAGTGGAAGAGATTTGAATTGTGCCAGATTCCTTTGGCAGGGGAGAGGTAAGGCTTAGCACAGAAAGCAGCTTAGGTCTGTATAACATCTCTTCTGGCACAGCGAGGACACAGGGATCCCGATATCGGGCACTGGCCATTTAACACTCCTGGGGTCATAAACAAGTCACAACCTCTGTGTGCCAAATCAGCAGCACGGGATTCAAAACCAAGTACGGGACAGTTGTGAGGGTTAATGAATGCTTGTCAAGTGAAGGGCTTGGAGGGCAGGTGAGATCCTACAAAGGAGCAATAGTATTTATTAACTGGTGTTTCTCATTAGCAGCACAAAGGTCTAGTTATAGCAGAGCAGCAGTTTCCATGCAACCTCACTGCGACTACTTTTGACACATACTTCCCACCTTGCGCCGCATGTAAATCTCCCCTTCTCCTCCTCCACCACCCACCACAAGCTGCAAGGTTCAGGGAGTGAGACTACTTGGCTATGGACTGTAGGGAGCACTGCTGATTCAAGGCAGATGCATCTGTGCAAGCTCTGAATGAAGGCTGCCTGGTTTCCAAACAGTAAATGAAGTCATGCAGATAATCTTGCTTTGCATGCAGCTGTTATCAGGGCAATTCTCCCACTCCCTGAGCTTCAGAGCAGTCAGGGGGTGCTACAACTGCTTGGAACAGATTAGAGCAGTCCACAGGATCACAGGGTATTCATTTCTACTCTGCAAAACTAATTTACAGCAGCAGGTAAACACCCACCACTCTAAACCTTGCCATGTGCTCAGTGCAATGACTTTGAGCCGTGTAAAGAAATACAAGCCCCTCACATTTTTCCCTGGGAAGCGCCAGATCACGTTAGCAAAGACTGCTTTACATCAGGGTTCTCATCACACAGGTGAAGAACTCGCCCACAAGTAGCATCACCCTTCCCTAAGATCAATCAGCAAGATGGCATCAGGGCCGGAGCGAACGATGCCTGGATGCCGAGGGCTGAAACTGCAGATTAATTGCCCAACTTTTCTTGCACAACCACCACAACACAGGAATTGGCCTAAGCCTTGTCCATCACTGAGCCATGGCACCTTGCCCACAAGCTTCCCTCTTTCCCATCCCAACTGACTGAGCACACTGCTTCCTCTTGTGAAGGAAGAAATTATTTTCTTCTGTTTTTTTCCTACCTGGGGGAAGTCTAGAGCTGTTCAGTTTAAACACTGCAGCTTTGCAATCCCGCTAATAGTATTTTAAACATCAGTGAGCCAAACTGATGAGCTGTCTTGGAGCCAAACCATTCATTAAAAGGAAAATTCAATTTTTCCTAGTGCTATAACAAGAGAAATTCATCCAGAGCAGCTAACTAAGCAAACCATACCAATGCCTGATGCCAAAAGCATTGGGATGAGAGCTGCAAATCCAGCTCTTTTAATGGCTTTTCAAAACACACCCTGTCTGACAGCTAACCCTCCTCCCAATCCCAAACTCTGTTAGGGCATCCTCAGAGCTACATCTAGTTGTTAGCACAAACACTCCTCCTGCTTAAGCACAGCAAGCTACAGCCCTAGCCCAGCATGTCTACAGCCATTTAAAACTTATCTACTGCAAGAGATCTTCGCTAACTAGATGCAATAGCAATTTTGCAACTGCCAAGAACAACAAACAACGCAGAAAGTGGCAAGAAGCCCCCTTTAAGCAGTTGCACGTTATAAATTGCTGAGAAAAGCAGCATGGGCTAAATTCTCAGGTGGCACAAAGGGGTGTAATGCCACTGAAGCCAGTG